AAATTCACAAAACTAGAAAGCTCATTCACTCACGAACCTAGCCATACCAAATCCATCAAAATCCGACATCGTTTGGTCCTTCAAATCCTTAAATTACTCTCCAAAAATTTCAAGCCCTAACCCCTCGTTTTGACTAATTACAATGATTAAACAACGGAAAATCACCATATATACGAGTATTAGGGCTCAAGCAACTTACCTCACTGATAGCCCTTGAATCACCCTTCAAAAATCCCTCCAAAAGCTCCAAAAACCGACTTGGAAATGGTGGAAATGAACCAAATTCGCGAAGGGCTATATTTATGGTTTCTTCCCAGGTTTTTCGCACATGCGGAAACTTTCACGCTTCTGCGCCACCGCACTTGTGAAAAAATCCATCGCAGGTGCGGAACTCACTTAGGAGCCCAGCTTCCGCATCTGCGGCCCAAAACCCCGCGCCTGCGAAGGCGCACCTGCGCGTTTCCTCCGCTTCTGCGAAGCCTGTCCAGCATCCCCCTTTCCGTATCTGCGCCCCAGGTTTCGCACCTGCGAGCTCGCAGATGCGACCTCCAACTCGCACCTGTGCAACCTGCCTAGCCCAGCATTGCCCGCACCTTCGCACTCCCCACGCGCACCAGCGGCCTCGCACCTGCAACTCTTTCTTCCGCAGGTGCGAAAATAGCAGTAGCAGCAGCTTCAGCTGCATTTTCTAACTTTGACAAATCTATTAACCACCCGGAATCACCCCGAGGCCCTTGGGACCTCAACCAAAAATACCAACAAGTCATATATCAACATACCAACTTAGTCGAACCTTCGAATCACTCAAAACAACATCAAATCATCCAATTACCCTCGGATTCAAGTCTAAGAACTTCTAAATTTCCAAATTCGACAACCGATGCCGAAACCAACCAAACCACGTCCGAATGACCTCAAATTTTTCACACACATCACAAATGACAATACAAACCCACTCCAACTTTCGGAATTCTATTCCGACCCCGATAACAAATTTTCCACTGCCGACCGAAATCGCCAAATTTCCAATTTTGCCAATTCAAGCCTAATTCTACCACGGACCTCCAAATCACATTCCGGACGCACTTCTATGTCCAAAATCGCCTAACGGAGCTAACATAATCATCAGAATTCAAATCCGAGATCGTTTACATATAGGTCAACATCCGGTTGACTTTTCCAACTTAAATTTCTACTTAAGAGACTAAGTATCTCAATTCACTCCGAAACCACTCCGGTCCCAAATCAACTAATCCGATATAACATAATATAGCTGAATAACATAAAAAAAAGTAGAAATGGGGGAAACAGGGCTATAACTCTCGAAACGACTGGCCGGGTCGTTACATGGATTATTAGGGTTGTGGTCCGGTGAAGGATTTGGTGGTTCTTGGGATGGATGATTCTCCTTAGAGGCTTCAACGCATAGAGGTTGAGTGTTATCTAGTTGAGGAGGTGCCTGTTGAGCATATTTTGGGAATTTAACAATTGTGGTGGATTGACTTTGGTTTTTGATAGGGCTGGGGATAATTGTTATGTTTATTGTTGATTGAGGAAGTTGTGATCAGAAGGGTGGTCAATGTGTTTACGAATAGATGATTGAGGCTGTGAGTTTATAGTTTGTGGGAGGCGTGACTTTGGAATAGACTCTAGTTGATTGACATTTCCTTGTGGAGCCTGTTTTGGTTCATTGAGTTGGGTATTGGAAGAAATGGGTTGGGATGAATTCTGATGAGCTCTCCACTGGACCTTCTTCTTCTTTCCTCTCTTTTTATTTAACATCTGTTGTGTTTGAGCCACATGTTCATACTGTTTAGCTTTACTCTGATGTTGTGTTAACAAGTTGTTGGTTTGCTGGTGAGTATGCATGTTTTCAGTCTGTATAGCCTGATTATCTTGTCCTTTTTCCACCTGTTCTGTTAAAATATTGCTTTGGAGGTTGCCATTTTGATCCTTTTGCAGAGATTGCCCATTGCAAACACTCCTATTAGTAGCATGCTGACCATTTCTTCTAGAGTTTCTTTGAACTTTCCATTCATCGTTATCCACTTCTTTGCTGGAGATATCGTGAGCCTTAAATTCTTCATCTCTCTTTTTGTTTCTATAAGAATTTTGATCATGTCCTTGCATAGAACAATATGGGCAGTATGAAGGAGCTCCCTCATTAACGATATCTAGCCAATAACCATCCTCAGCATTAGTGACTAGCCTATTGAATCCCACCCAAATTTGATCTTGCTTAGGTTTTAGCAAATCAATTTCGACTTTCAGCTTTTCCTCATTACCTCTATACTTCGAATAAGTAGCCATGTCTAGAGCCATAGCAGTTCCGACGGAGCTAACCATCATAGATAATATATCCCATCTGAACAAATGCCATGGTAGTTGATGAATCAAAATCCAGACAGGAGCTATGGTTGTTTCATTTTCAGGGACAAAATCAGGAGTGCACTTAATTATCTTCATAATATAAGGACCAAGGGTAATGAAGGGCTTGCAATAGATATGATAGAAATCAGCTTCATTAGAAAAATCGATGTACACATGGGTGGGGTCATAATAGGCAATCTTGACAGTACCTTTCAAAGGTACATGACTGATGAATAATTTCCTGACTTCCTCCATGTTTGGCTTTCCTTTAAGAAACTTCCCAACAATAGTAAGCTTACAATCCTCAGCTAGATTAACAAAGTAATCCTCAGCAGTAAAATAAACTGCTGGCTTACCCATGTGAGTTCCATGCTTAATATCAACAGGTTGTTTCCCCACAGAGATGCTAGCAAGAGTTGCAGAGATAGAAGAGGCAAATGAAGGTTTGGAAATAGAGGCAGGTGGCCATGATGGAGCCTTTTGATTGATTGTGGCTGTGGGGGTGTGGGTTACTGTTTGGAGTGTTCTGCTCAGTCTGGTGAAAATTAAAACTAGTATTTTGCATGACATTGTTAGCACAACTAGCTCTATGAGGTGGGTCAAAATTAGAAGAAACTTTTATAGACCGGGGTAGCGATGTGGTGCTCTGAACCGGAAGAGATGCCCTTTGGTCTTGTAAAGTGCAAAGATCCGTTGGGAGATTTGTCTGTGCTAGAGCATTGAAAATTCTAGTGTGATTCTCCTTATTTTTGAGATCTATGGTAGTATTATAATGTTGAGATACAGAAGATAGGTGATTATTGGCCTGATTTTGGGTGTTGATCGGTGGTGGAGTGTTAAGGGGAGAAGTAACTCTTGTGCTAGGTGGGGTGGATTGAGTGGTTGTCAAGTGCTCATTGGTTGATTGTGGTGGTGGATCTGGTGGTGCAGGGGGCGGGGGCTGTGGGACCATTGGTGGTCCATTGGGATCTCTTGAATGCATTTAGAGAGAGGCCAGAGAAAACTTTTAGAGAGAGTGGAAAACCTTGTTTGGTTGGTGAATGAAAAATTTTTTCCGGAAAATATTTTCTAGTGTTTGATCAGTGAATAGAAAATATTTTTTATGCTATTCTCCTCACTCCTCTTCCCCCAAGTCCCCACGTTTCCTTGCTCCCGCACCCCCCCTCAATACCCAACGTTTTCAGAACTTTATTTTCTTCAAGAAATTAATTATTCTTCTAAAAATTCATACAAACCCAAATGAACTAATGTGTTGCTTTACTTTTTTTTACACAAAAATAACGTTGAAATTTGTGTTCCATAATTAAAAAAAAAATACTTTTTTTTTGGTTAAAAAAGAAAGTACTCTTTCTACAACATGAAAATAAAGTACTCATTTTATTAAAATAAAAGAAAATACTTTTTCTATATCATGAAAAGAAAATACTCATTTTGTTGAAATGAAAGAATTTTTTACTACGTCATTCTGTTGAAATAAAGAAAATACTTTCTACATTATGAAAAGAAAATACTTTTTTTGTTAAAATAAAAAAAATTACTTTTTTATATCATGAAAAGAAAATACTCATTTGTTGAAATGAAGAAAAAAATTATATCTATAACATGAAAAGAAAGTATTATTAATAATATTTTTATTTAGGACGGGGGCGGGGTGAGGGGGTGATGGGTGGTGTATGGTAGG